GTAGGTGATCCAGAAGTCTGTTTTTGAGGCTTGTTTATGTGTCTTCTCATTTCCACAGGGGTGGGAGTGCTTCTGGCACCCACACAGCTCACCTCTTCCCTAGGAGCATGGAATGGCAGTGGGGCAGCTTCCTTCCAGGTGCTGGGACTGGCTCAGATTCTCTGCCCTAGGAGTGTGGAATGGCGGCAGGGGAGCTTCCTCCTGGGTGCTGGGACTGGCTCACCTTCTCTACCCTAGGAGCATGGAAAAATTAATTTTTTAAAATAAAAGGACTTAAAGAGGCTATCTGCTGGGAGGAGTCACAAAATAACCTAGATACTAAAAGTGTTCAGTCAGGATTTTGATATGGGTTGGAAGTGTTGTAGGATACATAAATATGTAAAACTTTGTGAGGTTAAACTTAAAATTTATGCAAATTTTAGTGAGAAAAATATTTGTATGTACAGTATTACCATTAAAATTTGAAAAGGTATGGTTTTGTAGGATTAAAATATTATTATTTTAATAGCAAAAAATTAGAAATAATCTTAATGATCAGTAAGAACTCCTGGAGAAAAATATGTTTTATGACAGAATTCTCATACTTCATACTTGAATTCACAAAATTTTCATCAGGAAAATATTATTTAGCAAAAGTAATGTTTTTCAGGCTGTGCTGACAAAAAAAAATCAGGATAACATCTATTTTCTCATATAATGTTATCAGGAGATAAAGCTGAACTACCTTTTGATAAGGAATTGATAATTTTTTTGTTCACCTTTCATTTGCCACAGAGCCACTAATTCTTAGAAGACCTATTTTGCACAGTTCTTAAAAAATTTTGAACTGGAGTTTTGATTTAACAAAGCTAGTTAGGAAAGGTGTTCTAAGATTGAAACTGGGTTGATTCATCACAATTTTTTTCTGAACTTCCTGTAATAAAATATTTTGTATGTAAATTGAATATTTGAAAACTTACTTAAAATTTCTGCTTCATGAATAATAAGTCACTTGCTTTTCTATTTATATATTGGGCAGAAAGGAAATACTCATAGTTTGGTATCATTTTTCCACTTACAAATAAGCTGTTTTAGTTACTGGTCACCATAGCAATTTAGTCCTTAACCCTTAAAAATATTTTCTAATCAAAAACTAAATATTTCTCATCTATTCACTTGATCTATTTTATAAATAATATTCTGTAACTATTTTAAATAATAAAGTGAGAAGTAGCAAGTTGATATATACAGAATGTTGAAGAATAATACATTTTCAATTTTAAAAATTTTTATTGGTACATATTTGTAGTACATAAGGATTACATTAACCATGGGGAGTTGGTACATGTATATAATGTATCCTAATATATTTTCTTATAGGCAGAACTTCTAGATGCTGCTGCTGGTATTCATGTATGCTTCAGATTAGGGGGGATAAGTATGCCTGAATATTGAGTAGTTTTAAAGTACATTTGTATGAAATTTAAAGGATATTTTTTAAAAATGTAAACCATTTTTATATGTGCATCACAGTGATCCTTTGAACTTTTCCATCTACAGGTTAAATTTCCACCTGATAGATACTATAAAATTTTTACACACAGACATATTGAAGATTTATGTGCTAACAGCCCTAGAGATTATACAAAGCTCCCAGCAAAACATACATCTCATAATAAAAATGATCATACTCAGGAAGAGGATCACAGTGGCTGGTATCGTTGAATAGAAAACAATGGCTGGCGGCCTGTTTCTGATAGGGTATGAGAAAGATTAGTAACTTTAAGTTGTATATATTTAGAAACTCATTTGTCTTTTTGAAAATTAATTTTAAATTGTTTCAAAATAATTGCTAGTAGGCACCTGAAATCCCTTAGCACTCTGGGAGGCTAAGTCAAGAGAATCACAAGTTTGAGCCCAACCTGGGCAACTTAGCAACTCAGGGAGCCCCGTCACAAAATAAAAAGTAAAAAATGGGCTACGGATGTAGTTCAGTGTGAAGACCCTGTGTTCAATCCCCAGTGCCAAAAGTAATTATAACTGCTAGTAATTTAATTGACAAAATTCACTTAACTATTCTGGATTTTCTAGTAATTCTGAGTATAGCAATGTATCTTTTTTTCCACCTTACATTTATTTCTGTTTTTAGTAGTCATCTCTGAAACTGGGCCATCTTTAGGTACTTTCTGGTACTTGACAGATTATATACTCAGGATTCAGATTATAGGATATGGTATGTTTATATACTTAGTATAAAACATGAAAATAATCATGGTGTGAATTTTATTCAACAAAGTTTATTACACACTAATTATGTGTCAGGCATTGTTCCAGAGGTCAGGATCACAGTGATAAAAGAGAAATACTCATTTCCCTTAAATAGTTTGTTTTTTAATTAAGGAGATAGTCAAGTAAAGAGAATAGTTCAATTTAGTAAGGTAAGTGATTTAATAGAGGCAAATACATAGTGTTGCAGATGTTAGCAAGCTCTCACACTTGCTATCTAGTGTATATGTGCTTGGGGAGAGGGGATGAATTAGAAGTAGGAAAATAGGTAATCAGTTAGGAGATCGGGCCCTACAGAAGAAACTCAGAGTTTTGGGACATAATAGATGTATTATTTCTGTTCCTGAAGGATGCCTGTACAAATATGTCTACTTTATTCATTCATCAAATAAAGTATCTCTGTACATAAGGACTTTGTCACTTTCTGTAGTATGTGGTTCTGAAAGCTCAATTTATTACCCATGATTTAATTAGAAATATCTCTAAAAAGTCTATCATCTCTTCTGCTTCTATCTTGTTATATTTCTACTGAGCATATAGAATTTTTTGATTATAAATAGATCAGTAGTTTGCAATCAATATTTCATCATTTTTAATATTCATTTTCATTTCTCAATAGTTTTGGATGCCAACTGGCAATGAAGTGGTGGATGACCAAAAGGAAAGTGAATTCCATTTCTCTAAACTGAAGAGAAGGCAAGATTTGGAAAGAAAAAGAAAAATTAGAAAAATAGAATGGATGAGACAAATGTAAGTAGATAAAATACTTAGACTTACTAAAGAACTTTAAAGTAATTTAGAAAAAAAACAAATTTGGAAAACTTATTCTACTTGGGTTCAAGTCATAAATCATGACATTTGTAGTAATGTTATAAAAACAGACATGAATCTATGTGGAAAAGAATATAATGTTCAGAAATAGACCCACAAATATATTAATTGATTCTTAGTAAATGGGCACAGGAAATTTATGTAATTGGAAAAAGATAGTGTTTTCAACAAATTGGGTATTCAAATGCAAAAAAATGAATATTGACTTTTATGTCATGTTAAAATTACAGTGGTACCTCAGTTCATGAACTTAATTTGTTCCACAACTCTGAGACTGCATTGGCAATCATCACCCGAGGTAGAGTTCATGAAGGGAAGCAAAATTTTGCCCAATGCTTCTGTTCTTGAGCCGAATTGTTCACAGAGGTGTTCCTGAACTGAGGTGACACTATATTCAAAAGAGATCATAGATCTAAAAGAGCAAAGACCATAAAACATTTAAAAGTAACCAAAGGAGAATATTTTAGTGACCTTAGTTCTGGCAATACTTCTTATATAGGACACAAAATGCATGAAATATGAAAGAAAAAATACAATGAACCACACTTTAAAATTTTTGGTCTTTAGGAACTTGTTACAAAAATAAAACTGTGAGGCAAAAAACAGGGCAAAAAAATAACAAAATATATATCTGACAAAAGTCTTAAATTGAGAACCTACTTCTACAATTGTCAGAAGTAATAAGACAACCTAATTTTAACATGGGCCAAAAATTTGAATAAATACTCCCTCAGTGAAGATACATTGATAACAATTTAGCAACTAAATTTATAACTGTCATTAGCATTACAGAAGTGCAAACTGGGCCTGGGATTTAGCTCAGTGGTTTCACCACCTGCTGCGCAAGCACGAGGACCAGAGTTCGATCCCTGGTACCAAAAAAACTAAAACAAAACAAAAACAGAAGTGCAAACCAGAACAATGAGATACTACCATACACCCACTGGAATAGTGAAAATTGTCTGCTGTACTAATTGTTGATAAAGATATGGAGCAAAAGCAAACTGTACAGGTACTTTGGAAACAGTCGGGCAGTGTTTTTATTTTTGTTCTTGTTCTTGTTTTTTGAGAAAGTGTCTTGCTATGTAGTTCAGGCTGGACTTGAACTCATTATATAGCCCAGGCTGACTTTGAACTTGTGGTGATCATCCTGCCTCAGCTTCCTAAGTGCTGGCATGAGCCACTGCACCCAGCAGTTTTTTAAAAAGCAATTTAAAATAAAAGCAATTTAACACACCTGCTAATAACTTAACCATTCCACCTTTAGGTATTTACAAAGTGAAATAAAAATTTGCTCCTCAGAAAGACTGCATATAGATGTTTATACCAGGCTTATTTTAATAGTCCCAAATCAGTAATGATACAAATGTCCATCAATAGGTGAATGTATAAACAAATTGTAGTTTATCTACACACACACGAATAGTATTCATCAATACAAAGTAATGGACTGTTAATACACATAACAACATGAATGAATCTCAAAATAATAGATGCTGAATGAAATATATCAAAAAGAGCATATACTGTATGATCCCATTTACCTAAAATTCTGTAAGATATAAATGTAGAGTGACAAAGATAAGTAGATGGCTGGAGATGAGAGAGAAGTAGTAAAAGGATAACTAATAGGTGTGAAGAAACTGAGGGGGTAATGTATAGATTTCTTTTTATTGTAGTGATACATTCACATGTGTGTGTATGTACTAAAACTTCAAATTGTATGATTATGTGGTTTGTTGTACATCATAGTTGTAAGATTTTTTTCTCTTTTTTTTTTTGTACTGGGGATCAACCTCCAGACCTTATGCTTCTGAGGCTGGTGGTGGAACCACCGAGCTAAATCTCTGGGCCTGTAACAATTTTTTTTAATTTAATTTTATTGGTACATTTTAGATATACAATATAATGACATTCATCATTGGAAATTTTCACCTTTACATAATCTCTATTGGTTCTTATTTTTCCCCCTTCCCCTATCTTCCCTTCAACCCCTTCATTCCTCCCTATTTACAAAGACTTTTTTTCCATTTTTTCATTTTCTCATATTAATTCCATTCTCTTCTTTCCTTTCCCCTATCACTCCCAATTCTACTTCCCCTTTGCCCCTTTTCTTCCTATTTCGCATTATCAATTATACCTTTTAGTTGTTATTTGCACTTTCAGTTTCTTGCACTAGAGGAACTATGCAGTATTTACATATGTGTGTCCTATTTATTTCACTTAAGAGTATCACCTCAATGTGCATTAGCTATAAATATTTCTAATTTCTCACATATTATGGCTGAGTAGTACTCCACTTTATTAAAAAACCACATCTTATTTATCCAGACTCCAGTTGATGGGCATTTGGGCTGCTTCCAAGTTTTAGCTATTACAGACTGAGCTGTGATGAACATGGGTACACATACATCACTGTGGTATGATTCTTTTAATTCTTTGGGGAAGATACCCAGGAGGGGAATAGCTGGGTCAAATGGGACTTCCAGTCCTAGTTCTTTGAGGTATCTCCATACTAATTTCCACAGTGGTTGCACCAGTCTACATTCCCACCAGCAGTGGAGCATAGATCATCTTTCCCCACACCACCATCAGCATTTGTTATTGGTTGATTTCATGATAGCAGCCAATCTTTCTGGGGTGAGGTAGAATCTCAGCATTGTTTTCATTTGGATCTCTCGAATGACCAGTGATGTGGAACATTTTTTCATATGTTTATTTGCTATTTCCACTTCTTTGACTGA